AGAAGTAGAGAATCACATTCATGTAGTAGAGAATTACATTCATGTAGAATTAGAGAATCACATACATGTAGAAGTAGAGAATCACATTCATGTAGAATTAGAGAATTACATACATGTAGAAGCAGAGAATCACATACATGTAGAAGCAGAGAATCACATACATGTTACTCAATAAAACAGAATGAAGGTAAGAAAAGGAGGAGTAGGGGATATGAGAAAGAAAATGCTCGACATGAATACACAAGTTCAGGAACGCTTTAAAAAACCATGAGAGAAAGTAACAGGGACCTGGGCACCAAGTGAGATGTGGTTGAGCTGGCTGCACGTGGTTGCTGCTCTGTAGTAAGGGGAAATCAAGTGATGAGTGACCAACCAGAGACTGAAGCTCTAAGGAGTAGGAAGATGTCCAAGCACAAACAACAACAGGAATAACAGAGGAGAGAGCTCTGATTTAAACCACTTCTGAGGACACTGAGCAGAAGGAAGAAAATAAGAACTTGTATTGCTTTGATTTTTAAGGAATGTGTTCCATATTTTACCATTTCCAAAGTAGAGAAATGTTATCTTTAACCAACATGTGTAAGTTAATGCTAGTTTTTGCAATTGGTGATGCCACAGAGCAGAATTATAGTATTTAAACAGTGACTTTAAATTACTCTGCTAAATTAAAAACCTACAGTTTTACCTAATTTCCTCTGAGTTTGAAGACGTCCTTAGTCTATTATCTTCAATGTAGCTTGCTATTGCAGTCCAAATGTTACTACTATGGACCTTTGGCTGTCCCTACAGACATTAAGAAGCAGGCAATAAAGTAAATAGTGTACAACTAGGAAAAATGTTTTAGGGGAAATACGTTCACACGATTAGACAGAAAATGAGAATGGCCCACGTAGGCTCATATATTTGAATACTTGGCCCCAGCTGGTGGAACTGTTTGGGAAGGATTAGGAGGTGTGGCCTTGTTGGAGGACGTGTGTCCCTGGAGGAGGCTTTGCAGTTTCAGAAGACTCATGTGATTCCCAGTGCTCTTTCTCTGCCTTAAGGCTGTGGATCAAGATGTGAGGTCTGAGCTGCTCCGGCCACCATCATAGACTCTCACCCTCTGAAAACATGAGCCAACTAAATTCTTTCTTTTAATAGTAGCCTTGGCCTTGGTGCTTTGTCTCAGCAACAGAAAAGTAACTTTTTACACCCTGTAAAAAAGTGGATAGAAGATTCTATAGTGGAAATACTTTTATTTTAGGGAGATGGTGGTAGGGAGTTGAATGTTGTATGTAAATAAATAAAATAAAGTTATGCACCCAAAAATGTGATGTGTCTTATTTTAGAGTCATATCTTGATTTACTAATGTGAGTGAAGGTCATTAGAACCAGAGGGACATCATCCTTGTTTTTCAGAGTACAAACCTGACTCAGAGTGAGAGTCACTCAAGTTAGTGGAATTCCGAGTACTTGGCTTGTTTTTTTTACCCCCCCCCACCATTACAAATAAATATTTCCATAAACAGTACTCACCCAGCATTGTAGGGTAGATATCCACAAGAGAAACAAAATTTGGCACTTGTAGGTTGACCTTAATTCCTGGTCCCATCATCAACAGTGGAACATGAGCACTAGCTTCATACATACTCATTTTATAAAACTGGCGGTGTTCCATGGCCATCTCTCCATGGTCTGAAGTATATATAACAATTGTTTTCTGAAGAAGATCTAGCTTGCGAAGAGCCAAAATAATTTCACCTACCATAAAAATCAAGATAGTTCTTTAGATTAGCTTTAGCTCACGTTTGATTTTGCCACACTAAGTTTAATCAACAGCACCCAGAATGTGTTGCAATACTTCTTACCAGCCAAGTAACCCTAATATTCTCACGGGCTTTCTCCTCAGCGGACAGACTGAGGAGAGGAAGGTAGGAAGGCAGTATCTATTGGATCACCTCTTTAGCTTCTGTCAGAGAATACCTGAGGCCTGACAGACAAGTCTGGATGTCACTCTAGACATGACTCAGATGTTAATGAAGACTGCCATCACTACTGACCCAAGCTTTCTGTACAATAAGAGGGGTTAAGAGCAAACCAAACTTCCTTGCTATCTCTTCTCCTAGCTCCTCATGTTACGGCCATTTTATGCTCTTAAACCTGGCTTATGGTAACTAAGGCTGTGTCATGAGCACACAGAGCAACTTGGGAGTAACTGAGCAGTGATATTCTGAGAAGCATTGTCTCTGACTTGAAAATTTCTCCCCACTGGAATTATGAGAATCAAAATAAAGCATAGTGCAGAGAAAGGGGAAATTATCTTTATTTGCTAGATCTTGAATTTGGGGTGCAAAGGTCTATATTAAATACACATATTTATAGGTCCAGTCAGAGTTGAGGTCCAATGCTCTAAGACCTCATGATCTTTCAACTAGACAAAACCTGCTTACTACTTTCTTTCCTTCTCTACTCCTTTCTTCTCAGGAGTGTTCCTTGCACACTCTGATGGACGCCTTGCTTCTAGAAGATCTGATAGCCTGGTCTTGCCATACTACTCTCCATATATACCCCCTCAACTATCTGGTGAAGCTTTGCATTCCAGCAGCCTCAGACCATAAAGTGCACTCTGAAGAGTGTATCAGTTTGTGGTTTCTTTTCCTCTGTGTCGAATGTCCTTTCTCCTACCCTCCTCTCATGCTTTCACCCTCCTTCTATGGTGCCTTCTCTGCTCTTCCACACACACTGACTCACTCTGTTCCCCAGGCTCCCTATGGTTTGTCCTGACTGCAGTAATACATTGTAAACCCTGATGTTTATCTGTTTGTCTGTAAACACACATGAGCCATAGCAGTGGGCGGAGGCCTGAGGGAGGTGTGGGAGTCAGTCCTTTCCTTTTCCCGTGTGCATGACAAGCACTTTACATACTGCTCCCTCCTGCTGATCGAACTGCGTTTGTTTGATGAACCTTTAGCTATCAGGTGCTGTGTGGGCAATATGTTGAATACTATCAAGAAATAACACCCTCAACTCTTCTTTGTGGAGCACACATCTATGCCCTGGGGTGTAACCTCCCTTCTGTGTGCTTCTTTAATGTTCAAGGATGGAAGAGTGTATATTATGTATGTAAAGTAAAATTCATAAAGTATATTTTGAAATATATTATCCATCTCCCTCTCTAAAAAAGAAATTACATGTTAATTTAAGACATTACAATTATTTGTATTTTCTGCCTCATCTACCTAGGATGTCCCTGGTTTTGCTTTCTCCATGCTGGCTTTTTCTCAGATCTCAGCTTACACACTACCTCCTCAGGAGTGCCGTCCCCGATACTCTGTTAGTATCCTAGTCTCACTGTTCTGTTTCCTCTAGCCATCCACTGCTTACGTCACAACACTATGTCTGTTCACATGCTCAGTATCTGTGCATTTTTTCTTTTCTGTTGAAGACACTGCAAAAGTTGTCTGTCCTACCTGCTGCAGCACAGAGCACACGGTGTTTCACATTAGAAGACGTAATAGCAAACTTTTAAAGCAACTGGAGAGTGCAGATGAGTAAACATTTCCCAGTGTCAGGAAATACCAATGAAATACACTCAGTGTACACTCATATGTCTAAACTAACACAGTCAGAGTTATGCTAGAGAAACACTTAAAATCCCACTGTCATGAGGGAGAACTTGGCGCCAGGTGTGGTGGTGTGTACTAATTCTAACACTTGAGAGACAGCAGCAGAAAAATCAGGGATTCAAGGCCAGCTTAAGTTACATAGTGGGTTCAAGGTTAGTCTCTCTCTCTCTCTCTCTCTCTCTCTCTCTCTCTCTCTCTCTCTCTCTCTCTCTCACACACACACACACACACACACACACACAGAGAACTTGGAAAGTCCTTGTTACTTTTTCACATATACACTGATTAAATAAATAATGTGTCTACATGGCTTCCTTCTTTCTGCTGTATTCTATTTCCTCAGTGAATACTTCTAATAGCACTGGCTGTTTTTTTGTATATAGAAAGAGGTGCTATCCACACTTGACCAGTGAAGTTATGTTCTGTCCCAAAATGTAGCAAGTGAGTGACATGATGTTGTGAAAATAACTTGTCATCAAAACAGCTGCTGATTTTTAAAACCAAGATTTCTTAATGTAGGAAGTGGAAACAGCACTACCATGATGGGGGAAATCTCTGACAGCCATGGAGGCAGGCTTGTCTGAGCTGACTTTGAGGCCGAATGTCAGGAAACCCAGTGATTGCAGTCATCAGAGGAAGTGGATCTGAGCTGTAGGTAAGCCTTCCTCTAAAGGGTCTAGGGAGAATGAATTTGTTTGCAGTATTACAAGTGTGGAAACAGCTATAATGCTAACAAAGAAGTCCCTCTCTTAAAAAATTCTTAGAGACATTAAAATGAGACTAATACATATGTAATAAAACCAATAAAAATGGTAGTAAATATTGGGTGTTAATTATTTATACTGAAGGCATTTTTTACACAGTGAATGTTTACCTGTAAACTAGTAAAGAGATTAGCTAAAAAATTAACAGATCTCATAAATTAGTGGGACCATGTTTAATCTGCTTATATTATCCTCACAGGCCCACCTGTCATTAAAAACTAATTACAACTCCCAGCTCTCCTAAAGAAGTGTCTTTTCCTCTCTCTCCTCCTCCTCCTCTCAGTCTCCTTATTGTCTCAGTCTTTGAGGTGTTCAGTTATAAACCCAAGCCACAGCAATCCTCTGGCAGAGCAAGGTCACCAGGCTTGAATTCTTACAGGGTCATAAAGGCAGTAAGAATTTTCCTCAGGCAGTGGCCGGCAGGCTTTCTTTTTACAACCCAAATGAGTGATAATGATCAATTAGTCAAGAAGAGAATTTATGTGCTCAATCTACATTCTTAGAAAAGTGGTTAGGTAAGAAATTACTATTAGTAAGGCTGTAAGGAAGGAGGGTCTCACCCTAAAATGCACAAGAAATAAAGCTATCCTCCTGACCTAGGAGACAGGTGTTGTTTAGTTTGGCCTTGGATGCTTGATAGGTATTTTAGATAAGTACACTGTTAGGAGTTCTTGGAAGCATGCATAGCATTACAAGAAAATCATTGTAGGAACCAGCTAATATATATATTTGCAAATTCAAGAGAAGATATATATAAAAGCTAAAATATCACCAAGACTTCTTAAGCCATGGCTTGACCTTTGGAGAAGTCCTTGACTTTGTGACAGTATCTGCTATCACATTTTCCTGCGTCTTGCAGCATTTATTTAACATTTTACAGACAATAACTTCCTAATTGTGATTTATAAATTAGTGTTAATATAGTTCCTGTCCTTTTGACTGTGATTCTTAGCCTTCAAGAGCTAAGCTGTCTCCAGCCTGAGTGTTGACATTTCTAGGACACTACATACATGCTAACTGACATCTGTTATCTTTCTGTGTGAGAGGAGTGCAGGGAAGGGACATGGACCTCTCTTTACCACGAGTGGAGGCTGAGAAGCAGAACATGCTGGAACAATAGACTGAACTATGTGTCCTCTGTAAGTAAGTACTCTTAACCACTCTAGAAGACGTTTTCATTTCATTTGATTTTATTTTTCTCTCATATATTACTCCTGACTAGAGTTTCCCCTCCCTTCTGTTTCTCCCCCTAGAAAACATTTTAAGATGTTTAAAATGACACTATGAAGCAAACATGAGTGCTTTGCTGTTTTCACAACACCTTAACCTGCCATCTGCCCTCCCTAAGACTGATATTTCCAGTCATCATAAGATTCATATTGGAATTTTGCTATTTTAATGTATATATAAGTGATTTTATAGAAATAATTTAATCTACAACTTTTATCAGAAAGTGACTTTTTCTATCTTTACATAAAAATATTACTTGATAACTAATGATAAGCATATGTAAGAAATTCACATCTATTTGAAAAAAAGTTAAAGAGATTTTCTACTCTTAATTCCTCTATGTCTCCATCTATTTAACTTCTGATGACTATTCTCCTGAGACTCCAAAGGTGTGTGCAGAACACCAAACTGATTCCTCTACATCAGTATTTGGAATGTGAAACTTCTCATCTCTTGGAAAATGAGCTGCCTTACAGTTAGTTACATGCCTGCCGTGTCCAGCCAAGTGTTTTGTTTCAAGCAGAAAACAGCTTTCTATGACTTTTTATGTATGAAACAACCTGAGAACTTATGAATAATTAAAATAGAAAGGGTCCTTTATTTTGTTGTTAATGTATTTTTATGAGTCAAGATCTTCAAAGTTCCAAGTCTGAAGGATCTAAGCAACTGCTTTAAGAAATATCTGAGGGTGCTCCCGAAAGCCTCAACTAGCACAAGCACAATTTGTTGGAAAAATATTATCCTTTCCTTCCTTTAATTGCTTATTAGTTATACCACCTACCTAGCATAGCATCTGTCTCAGCACACATAGCATAATAAAATGCTCTAATGTTCTTAATTTCCATTTCGGTAAAGTTCCCTGTGCAGTTTTTTGTATAGGAAGAGTAATAGTCCACAGGGTGCATTTCTGACAAAGCTGACCACTTTGGGATTTTGATGGCATCATAGGCTACCTGAAAAGGAAGAAGGAAAAGCTTTATATTAGCAAAGTCATAGTATCCTTTCTTCCCACAAATATCTGTGGCAAACTTCACACCGTCTCATACATAGAGTGATTAAAAAGAACATGCTAATTCTCCAAGCAGGGGTGTGCCGAGTAAACCTTATTTCACTGTCTGGAACAGGAGCGTTTCAGGTTTTGATAAGCTTTCTTTGAAGGGTCATAAAGCAATCAGATTTGTCTCCCAGTGATAAATCCATGAGACACTTCACAAAAGTGGATAATGAAAGAAAACTCAGAAAGATGAACATTCAGTAAAGAAATGAAATGTGCTAAGACTAAAGTGAATTCAAGTCACACATATATGAAATAATAGAAGAAAAGGATAGTCTTGGGATGCTAATAGTGCTGCTATCTCAAAGAATTCAGATTCATGGTCAGAGGAGCTTATGGGTTGTATACTTAACATTACCAGGAAGACCAGTTTGAAGAAAAGGATTGAGATTTACATACAGAAACCTGTAAAAATATTCACACTGAAGGAACTCTACATTGGAAGCCAAAAAGTAAAAATGTAGGAAGTTGATTTAAACAGAGAAAGAAATATGAGAATTTGCAAAGCCAAGAGACGATGCTTGCTGTAGGTCAGCTGCACAGGGAGGGGAAGGCAGGCATGCTCACACTGCGGGTCAGGAGCTGCACAGAAGGCAGGCATGCTCACACTGCAGGTCAGGAGCTGCACAGAG